GTAAACTCCAGTATCAGTCCCGATGAGCTGACTATGCCGTAATCAATGACTTTCCACGTGAGAGGACTTTCTATTGGTCGGAAAAGTTCTCTGTGATTGGTCATTAGCTTCATACCTATCAGGTTGCTCCGCCTAAACTCAGAAGATGAATTGGTATATATTCCAAGAACTTGTTTGAGACACTGTTTACTAAATGGGTTTTCCATTTAAAAAAAAAAAGTGGACGATTTAAATTTAACATAGATAAGTTTCCATCACTTACGTTGTAATAGCTCAAACACTATCTAACTTACTTATTGGTAAGTGAATGTGAATGTTTAGAAAGAAAACATCACAATTCAAAGGAAAATACAATTTTGGTTTAAGATTTGTCTGCTCTGTAAAATAACAATGAAAAATGCATGTGCAGGCTCATGTTTCAGCAATACAAAAAATAAAAAAAGCCTCACCTTTGCTTTTCTTTCAAAAAACAAATGTCAAAAGAGGCTATTTATTATTGTTTATAGTAAAGCATCAATAGGGTACTCTTATATGTTTTCATTTAAAAAAAGTATTTTACGGCGCCATCTCTTAGTGCAAAGTTTAGCTATTCCTCGTGTATTTCATATTATTGTTTCTTCGCACAGTTCACAGAATATAATTTATCTTAGTTCATAATATTCAACTACCTCAAAAATACTTATATATCTTATGTTTTTAGCGCCTAAGCTACTATTTAACTGCTGGAAGGCTTCATATTTTTATATGCACTCAAACGATCTGGTCATTGATTTTGAGTTATTTGGTAAAAGAATTGAAGATATATGAAATCTTTATATTATTTTAACATAGGTATGCAAGATATTCTGACGCGCTTCAAACTCTAGATTATGTTTGTTTGTTTGAAGTTAAGCACAAAGCTGCACAATGGGCTGTCTGTGCTCTGCCCACCACGGGTATCGAACCCGGTTTCTTGTTTTTATGGTTTGAAGGATTATTTCTGTGCTTGAAAAATATTGTTATTTTATGTTTATCATATTTGATTCTAAGTATAACGCTAGAGAAATTGTTAACTTTAGTAAACTTGAGGCCATGCCATTTATTTATCTAAAGTTAAAAAAACGAGTTTATGATTTGTTAGAAACTGTAGTTTAAGTAATGTGTTTTTATGGTTTGAAGGATTATTTCTGTGCTTGAAAAATATTCTTATTTTATGTTTATCATATTTGATTCTAAGTATAACGCTAGAGAAATTGGTATCTAAAGTTAAAAAAACGAGTTTATGATTTGTTAGAAACTGTAGTTTAAGTAATGCCAATTTCTCTATGACTTGTCATACCTAGTAAAAACACTCTCGGACTTCATTAGAAACCACGATTTCGATGACATGACTCAAATGTCAAACAAAAAGCTAACACTAAGTAAATGACAAACAAGAGTGGCAGTTGAAACTAAAAAAAAACAAAGTTAAAGCTACTATATGCAATTATATTTGAAATAAAACATATACACAAACAAAATTACCTTCACTAAATGAAACAAACAATGTTAAACTGCCAAAAAATAGTAGTGATAATGCTTAAATATGTAAGTTAACACGCGTGTCCCCAGTGGTTCAGCGGCTGATCCCTAGGTTTATGAAGCTAACAATTGGGTTTCGATACCGTGGTAGGCAGAGCACAAATCGCCCATTGTGTAACTTTGTGTTTAAAATCAAACAAATTTAAACGCATCATTTAGGAGAAGGATAAAATTTGCACGACTGTCTTACTAACGTCATACGCATGAGGATTACTGTGTATTTATGTTAAAAGAACAAGTTAAAATGCGGATTACTGTCTATTTATGTTAAAAGAACAAGTTTAAAATGCTTAACTCTTTATTTTTCGTAAGAAATAGGCCAAGAAGCAGACAAATTTAAAAAAAGTAGAACTACCATTCCTTCTGTATATTGGTGTAAGAAGTAACACAGAGAGAAGAAAGTCACGTCAATCAATTTTATACTGATGATGTTTATATTGAAAATAAATTTCATATTTGAAATAAATACTGTTTATGGATAGATGGCAGCACATGTATTAATAGTCTTTTGACTTGGTTTGGTTGTTGTTAAATAAAAAGTTACACAATGGGCTATGTGTGCTCTGCCCACCATGAGTAAAGAAACTCTATTTTTAGTAGACTTACTGATTTGCCACTGGGGGCGTATTAATTGTCAAACTTTATTTATTCATTATTTTTCTGAATATTCACCTGCCGAGATTCAAAACCGCGACTCATCTCGCCTGTATAGAAAGTAATTTAGCTTATGCTGAATGCCCTGCATTCCCTTTTCACTTCAGTAGTTATTCAGTACGTGTTTTATCGGGACTTTTGAGATACGTCAATTGACTTCTAAAGCTCAGAATCTGTTTATTGTCATTTCTTGGTTTCAAGTACCACTTTTAAGTGTCTTAACTGTACAGGTTTTAAGAGCAGCATACCGTTAAACTGTTTGGGGAAGGGGAAAAAAAGTGAAAACCGATTGGTACACTTCAAGAGTCCTGTCAAATTTTGTCTCCAGCGATAAACGGAATGGTTAAAACTGAAACGCGATATAGTTTAGTTGGTTGAAACGTCTGGTACATAAGCTGTAAGTATGAATTCCGACAGTTTACAGTTTTTATTTTTTTAGAACAAATATTTCCATTTCAAGTGAAAATGGGTATTAAAAGTTACAAACGAGTCTGTGGTCATACGTCGTTAGAAAATGTAAATTAGATAGTACTTTCTTATCATCTGAGTGATACTTTCTGCGCTTAAACTTTAAAAAATGCTGTTATTTTAAATTACCATATTTGATTAAAAGTATAACAGAAGAGAAACGGGTGTGTGGTTCGACTAATTTGAAGTTATGTCATTTGAGTCTGTTGTTTAGAGTTTAGTTTTTTAATAACTTTCCCGCATTTGTTGAAAGATAAAAATGTCATGGTAACTTCCATTCTTTTACCAAATAACTCAAACCAAATCATATTTGTGAACGTCGAAATAACTAAGTCGTTTGAATGTATAAGAAAGTATTATAATTAATTTTATTCAATTACAGTTTTCCTTTACACCTAAGAACAGTAGAAAACGTTAAATAGTAGCTGATCTATTAAAGACGTAATATATGTAAGAATTTTCGAGACAGTTGAAGAAAAACAATAAAAAACGCGAGTAGTAATAATACTTTAAACCAAGAGATGGCGCAACGGCAGTTTCTTTTTTCTTATTAAAATGTATAAGAGAATCATATTGATGCTTTATAACAAAAATCTCGTTTTACACAGATGACAGTTTTTGTTAAGGGAATCAACACGAATTTATTTCAAAAAGAGGAGTTACAATATGCAAGGTGCTGTATTTTTTGTATTGCACAAACATGTACCTGTGTTAAACATGTGTTAACTGTCAATCGTACACATTTCGTTAATGGAACTCGAGCCCAGTGCACATTATCAAAATATGATGACTAGGGACTATGTACTTATAAATGCCGTATAGTTTTAGCAACATAATAGAATGACAAGTGATATTTTCATCTTGTAATTCTACAACGATAATAACTTGTCTTGTCAATAACGTTCAGTATGTACAAAAGTTTTTTTTTATTCGGATATAATTTTAATGCTTTCTTATGTATAGAACATCCGGAGAACCAGTGTCCAGTTGGAACATGCTGAGACACCAATGATCTGTTTAAATACAAAAAGCCTTAACTGGATAGAACAGCTGCAGCATGCTGGGAAATAAAATTCCAGAATAAGTATTATGATGGCTTTCTATGATGACATAATTGACATTATCAAA